AATTGCAACCAAATCTAAATTTAATCCTAGTTAAAATTCTAATAGTCTTTACTTAAATCAAACTCTAATTAAATCCTAAACAAATTTTAAATATGAACCAATTTTTAGATCTTAAACAAAATCCTAATCAAATTAATCTCATCCAAAGGCAATTTAGAACCTCAATATCTATCAATCATACCACCAAACTTGCTTAATATTCTACACATTTTTCAACAACTAAATTAGCAAGAAGCATAAAAAATGTGAAGAAGATCAAACTTACCAAATAGAAGATCAATCTTAAATTTTGCTTAAGTATTGGCTGGCTTCCTACCCTAATCTGAATGTTGGAACTATAGTGCCAATACTTCCTTCTTGAATCATCAAATTTCCTCCAAAATATACTTATATTGCAAAAAATCAAGTCTAGTCTCCACACAAAAAAAAATTACTTCAATCTAATCAATAGATTGCTAAAGATCTTTAAAATATTCACTTATGCTCAAATTCCAATCTTTGAAATTTTAATCCACAAAAACCTTCACACATTTTGATGTAACTATTTGATTGACCTCAAAATCTTTACACACAATAATAACTAAAATACCAACACATTGCCTAAAATTCATTTGTACATACACCACAAAACTCAAGAAACCGTCAATTTTGTAAACATAATTTTATTTTTCAAAATCTAATCCAACCAAGAACATCACTAACTTTGAAAATCTCCTAAAAATTGAATATTAATTTAATTGACATAAAACCAATACTCAAAAATCTCTTTATTAGTTTGTTTTCAAATCCTACTCTTTTAATTTCCCAAAGAATCTGAGAGTTACTATAGGTACGTGGTTTTGTGCCTCATGGTCTAATTTCAACCCAAGTTGACAATCAATCCTCTCGAGGTATTAGTATTTGGTAATTTGAGGTAATTTTTGCTTGAACCTATCGGTAACTCCTTAAACATGTCTATATCAATTACTTATCTTATTTACTTTGAATTGAAGTATTTATGCCCCTATAAAGTAAATAGAAGCCTCTTCTCTAAAAGACAGTATTAAAACTAAACTTTTTATTACCTTCTTATTATTTATCCTTGTTTTTCTACCACATCTTTCTACTAGGCTCTTCTATAACAACATCCATGTTTTTATTTTTCACCATATAGTCATGTTACTATATGACAACATACTATGGATCTTTAATCTAGTTGTTTTTGTAAAAATCATTATTTTAAGTTTATTTCTATACTTTTTGAATTTTTCATATTCAGATGAGTAACAAAAATATCTTTTTTTTTAAAAAAAATATCACTAAAAGGTTGAGGTGCCTATTATTAAAAAAAATTATAACAAATATTGAAGTTAATAATTAATATTTTAGATTATACTATTTAAAAAAAATATTGGACTTATATCATTTTAAATGCCTAAAAAATAAAATTTATACATTTATTATATTTATAAATGTTTCATCTTTAAATTTTCCTAAAAATAAATGATATGCTTTAAGTCTATTCAACATAAGTACATCCAATTGTTCAAACTAAAGACATTTTTATTCTTATCTCTTTTACATAAATAATAAATAATCATGTATTTTAAAAAAATATTATTCTTTTTTTTATAAAAATAAGTATGAATTTAGTCAAATAATTAATTTTAAATTTATTTTTGAAAGAAAAATGATTTATAAGGTAATGTAATTAAATTATGATTATTATTTTCTTATAAAATTTTATGTTTGGAGTTACTTATGTTTTATAATAATTGTTGTTGCTTTTCTCTTTCTTTTAAAATTTAATTTAATTTTTAAAAAGCTCATAAAAACTTAATTAAAAATAATTAATTCAATTATGCTTAAATTTCATAAGTAATGTATGACTTATATAAATGCTAGAACTTTCTATGTCATCAACTATATTAGCTCTTATGTGGCTATATTATTATTCTCTATTTCATAATTATATTGACTATACTTTCAAATTTGATTTATTTTTAATGGTCGAATATCTTGATTTTTACTATATTGCAAAATCTAATAACAAGTAAAATATTCAAGGTACAAAAAATTTAAATTTTAAAATAAATAAATTAATTAAATTAGTATTTTTAAACAAGTAATATGTAATATATTTTTATACAAATTAATTATATAGTTTACAAGATCTACCTCTTAAAAAAATTAAATTACGTTAAAATTAGATTAAATAGAAAATACAACAAAATTTATGTTCTAGCAACAATATTTTACACATTTTTAACAGCAAGAAAAGTTAAATTAAAATAAAAAATAAATACATATATATATATATATATATATATATATAATATTTAAATTAAAATTAGAAAATACGAAAATTTATAAAAAAGAAGAAATTAATAAAATTATTCATTAAAGTATTTTAATATTTTAGTATACACACGTCTATATAACAATTTAAAAAAAAAAATACTCAATGTTCTTAAATACTTTCGATTTGACTTAAATTTTGTACCACAAAATTCTTTTATATAAATTTGAATATTATTTTTTGATTATAGAATATTTTATTTTTATCTATTTAATAATTCATGTATTAAAGAGATATTATTCATTGATATGTATTTGCAAGTTTTAAGGCTGTATTTTTATTCTCAAAAATATTTTGGCATACCAGGTTTTTTTTTTTTTTTTTTTTTTTTTTTTTTTTAAAAAAAAAAACATTTTTTCTTGAAATGAAGAAAATTAATTCTCACATATGATTTTATTTATTTGAATTATTTTTAAAGAGAATTTCCGGGTAGAAACCTTTTTTTTTTTTTTTTTTTTTTTGTATGGGCACCCTTTGTGCCAAACACCTCTATATACTCATACTAATATTGCTCCTACTTAAATACTTTTGATAATGTTATTTTTTGTCTATTTTATTACTACCATTGAAAAGGATTATGAAAAAATAAAAACAAAATAAAAAATTATGTCTTGTTATGAGTTCACATAATTAATATCACATATGAAACTTAGATGTATGCTCTATTTCAAACTTAGAAAAAAAAAAATAAAAACATAAAAAATAAAATATTATGCAATCAAATTCAGTAAATAATTATAATTATAATGATGTTTTTTTTTTTTTGTAAAAAACTTATAATAAATAAAGTGAATTGCTTAAAAGATATTCATGCAATAAAAGAAGGGTGTCTTTTTATCAATTGTCTTTCCAAAATACATAAGTCCACTATTAATTGATTTGAAATAATAATATCAAATATTTTATAGATTTGATAGTAGATAAAGGTAATATTGTTATTAAAACAGCAATTGGAAAAATATATATATATATATATATATATATAAACCTTTTATATTATAAATTTTACTAACACAATGATTATAATTATTTTTTTTAAGAAACTTTATATCATCTAAAAATATTTTACGAACTTCTCAAAGTAATAGAAGCTTATTTTTTAAAGATATTATATAGATACATATTTGTAGACATTTCAAATTGTAAAAAAAACAAAACAAGACAAAAAAAAAAAAAAAAAAAAAAAAAAAACAATGTACATTCGACATCAATCTTTATATAAAAGATAAAAAAGATAAAAATATTATTTAATTAATCATAATTAAAATTTGTTCAAATTTTGACTTCTCATACTAAGTTCTACATGATTAAGAAGATTAAAGACTTAAATTATATTTTTATCAAAAGATTTTTATCCATCTTACAAAAATCTAATGATATCTATCTTTGTCCTACCTTCTACTTGCCTTACTTCAAATACAACATCCTTTGCTCTTACCTTGTCTGAGATTTTTCTTTTATTGCTCTTAATATATTAGTTGTATTATGTCTATTACCCTAATGCTTGGCTAACTTCTATTTCTACTTATGATTCTTGCTTGATGTCATGTTGTAATACAACTATTGGTTGAAAATGTAGACAAAGACCAAACTGAATTGAAATGACTTATATAAAAGATTAATAGAGATTTCTTATTAATTCGTATTAATAGAGATTTCTTATTAATTCGTAAGTTAAGATTTTAATATTGTTGTTGCTCTTATTATTCAAAAAATAATAAAAAATAAAAAAATTACCTATTTTATGGAATTCCAATAAGATAAGATCTAATAGAATAGATAAAAAATCAAATCAATTTTTTTAAAGTTAAAGTGAAGATATTTTTTTTGTAAAATCAAATATTAAATAAATATTAAATTGATAGTTAGAGGTGACTATTTGTGAGACATGGTTAAAATTAGATCCTAAGGTACAAAAATAAGGATCCACTTACAATTCAATTTTTTTACTTCTTTCCTATATAAGATGGATTCTACAACTATTTTCCAAAGAATAGTATTCTTTAAATGAATGATAGTATGGCAATAGTGAATACTTTACTCATTTCTTAAACATAAGATACATCTACAACTTGCAAATTAATAACACAAGCAACAAAAGATTTAAGTTTTTGCAAGATTTGGTTTAAAATAAATCAAAGAAGCATTAATTAATTATCTTGGTTTAAGTGAAAACTTGCAAAATTTATAAATTATTCATTTGCATATAATATTGGATTAACTATGATTGGATAGAACATTGACCATTGTAGAGCTTTGAAGATGAATTCAAAGTCATGTTGGCATTTGGTGCAATTGCATGGTGACTAATGGGATTTGATTGATCCTCCTCAAAAGTCTTTGAGTTTCTTCCACAAAACAAGCTTTTCGGACCAAGTGCCCAGAACTTTTGAGCATGGAACCATTGCAAGTGCTTCCTATCTTAGTTCATGAAACTCTACTGCATGCCAGTAGAGTTTCATATCCTTCTATGTGCTCGAGAATGTCTTCTTAAATAGAGATTTGTTATAGAATATGTATGCATTCGATCAATATGGATATGATTCTGTATGCCTTTGTTTTTCACTCACTTGCATGAAGTACAATTGAGTTTCGTGGACATTTTAACACACACTGCATTTGAAAGTATTCACAGGGAAAATTTGAGGAAAGGCGACAGATCTTAGTGTTCCAAAATTGCTACAAAACTTTTGATTGAAACAAGTGCCGGAGTAGTAACGACTCATTCTTGTGATAGAACGAGAAAAAAAAAAGAAAAAGAAGGTATTATCTGGTTCGTGTTTGAGAGATTTCATGCCTCAACATTTGTATAACTGCATCCTACTTGGTGTACTCCTGCGTTGTATAAACTTCAACTGACACGACGAACTCCTCTGACTATTTAAGGTGCAAACAAAGGTCTATCGGGCTGTTGGGCAACAGCATCACGCACCTGAAGGCATTCGCAATGCGGTACTGAATCCCAGGAAATTGATTTTAAGCTTGAAATCGCAACTAAATTCTCATTACTCAAAGAATATCAAAATCGTATATTGTGCCCACGCTTCAAGAAGCAAATTAACGCACACCAACGATGACTGTAAGGATTAGGGTTCAAGGTCTAACTAAAAGCTTTCGAAGCCTGTAGAACCCCAGAAACAGTGGACCTAATTACAAATCGGGAATGACTGGTTCCCCTATGTTCACAAATGCCTTCGCCCGCTGCAGACGCTCCTCTGCTACCTTCCAGGATACCAAATTGTCCAAAAATTCCGTCAAGTAATCGGGTCTCTTGTTCTGATAGTCAAGATAATAAGCATGCTCCCAGACGTCTACGACCAGCAAGGGGATATGATTCCAGACAATGGGTGTAAGAGCATTCGACGTCTTCATAATCTCCAGCTTCGCGTCCTTCTTCAACACCAGCCACACCCACCCAGACCCGAACAGAGACCTGCCAGCTTCCTTGAACCTCTCCGAAAACTGCTCAAACGACTCAAAGTTCCTCACAATAAGATCGAGGAGCTCACTGTCCTCTGGCGGCGCCCCGCCCCCGCCCTGGCACATCGACATCCAAAAAAAATCGTGGTTCCAAATCTGCCCGGCGTTGTTGAAATACGACAGTGGGTTACCGTTGTTATACCCCGACAGCACCAGCTCGCTCAAGTTCAACCGCTCTGCGTCAGTGCCAGCTATCTGCTTGTTGAGATTCGCCACATAGCCCCCGTGGTGCTTCCCCCAGTGAAACTCCAGCGTCTTCTTGCTCATGTGGGGCTCCAATGCGTCCAGCTCATATGGAAGATCACGCAAATGGAACTCGGCTGTTGGAACGCCTACCGACCCAATTCTTCTCCGCGAAATCGTGACACATTTGCTGGGGTTTTGAAGCAAATTAGAGGTGAAGCACGAGCTAGCGAAGGTTGCTGCCATAGCTCCGACTTTCAAACACCCCTCTCTCTCTCGCTCGCTACTTCTGTACCCAAAAACCCTGCTGCTGCTGCTGCGGCTCTGCTAAACCCTGTGACAAGCTTTCCTCCGCTAGAAATTGTTCCTCCTCCTCGACAACGCCTATCGTCCGAATTCCGGCGTCGTGCTACTCTGTTACACAAATCTTGATTGATCCTCTCCGCCGAGTCTTATCCTCGACGTCGGAGTCCTGCAGTCTCCGGGTTTAGGGCCTCACGCGGTCATGGAGACCCTGTCGGTTATAGGGCCAGAAGAGGGAATCTAGCACATGGAATCTTTTGTATTCCTTTTGGTTATGAAATGTCTTCTTGATATTTACACAACCCGTGCGAAATAGCATTTTTAGAGAACATTTGGATAATTTTGATATTTTGGTGTGGTTAAGAGTACTTTAAAACCTTGTTAAATTTTTTAAGATGATGGTTAGACCAGGATTATATGCAAGGAAATTAAAGAAGAGATGAGAAGTATTTTGTCATATGCAATAATAATGAACTTTAAGCTGCTTGAAATAGAGTTTTTAGAGGTATTATTCTGGATAATTCTATTTAGTAAAATGTGAAGAAAGTGGAAGGAATTTAGGGTGGAAATGTTCTTCTATTCAAACAGATTATTGTTGTTCTTTTTATTGGAATATAATAATTAGGGTTTATTTTATAAAAATTCGATTTTGTATGTATGTATGTATGTATGTATGTATTCATTTTCAATGCTTCTACAAAAATAAAGGGTAGTTTGAAATTACTACCTATATCTATTCAATCATCAATTTTGAAATCAAATAATTTATCCATATGTCAAATGTAATAATTATTTTGTGAATGCTTTTAAGAAAATTTCATAATTAAATATTAAAATTTTTGGACCAAGTTTAAAATATATATCAAATTTGCTAAATTGAAACAAATAAATGGCATATAATACAACTCAATTTTAACTATTGACACAAGCTAAAAAAATATTAACAAACTAATAAAATAAATAAATTGTGTAAGATTTTATTACAAAAAAAATTATAGATAAAAAACCAGATGAATATTAAATATAGAATGCAAAGATATAAAATTTCTAAAAAATAATTTTTATTTTTATTTTTATCATAAATATATATATTTATCAAGATTAAAAGAACTTGATAGAAGTAAGTAAATTTGATATTAACTTGTGGGATAACTTCTTGTAAGCTTCATGAACATAGATTTGACATTATATATGTTTGTTGGTGATTAATAGGCTGAAAACTTGGTCAATAAGTTGGCCACATATTGCACATATTGGTGACTTGTAGTACAAGTTTTTCATGTGGTGCATATGTACGAAACTTATCTTGCAAGTTAGACACATGTTCTACAAGTTGCATACATGTCAAAGGTCCTAAAGAATGTTCCTACTTGACTGCTAATTAGGTAGTATATATGGAGGCAAGAGTGAAGCCTTCTTCACTCTTATTAACCCATCTTTATCATGGACATATATATTTACTAAGATTAAAAGAATTAGATAGAAGTAAATAGAAATAAATAAATTTGATAATATCTTGTGAAAGAGCTTCTTAAAAGCTTCATAGATGTGATGTGACATTATACATTTTTGTGATGTAATACAACTAATAGATGAAAGAATGAAAAAAATATTATTTTATAGAAAATCTTATTTCAAATTATTATAGCAAATTATCTTAAAAATATAGGTAATAGTCAAAGGTAATAAAACTAAAACTACAAATGTTGCCTTTTTGTAAAATAACTTCTACTTACTTTGTAGGACCATAAATAAGACAAAAAAGGGTAGATTAAAAAAATAAAAGATATAAAAATATGTATAAGGGAATTAGGAGTTGATTTTAGTAAAAATTACCTGAAGAAAACAAGAATTGATACTTTGAAAGGACCAATTGCCAATTAGGAATAAAATTAGATCTTAAGGTACAAAACTGCATACTTACATCGATTTTGGGATTTTTTTGCAAATCAACAAATGGGATTTGAGATATGACTTCATAAGATTTCTTTAAGCATTGGTTTTAAGCAATTTAAGTTTGTAATGACTTTGTAAGAGCTTTGCTAAGTCAAAGTTATTTTTAGTGTATTTGGTATTATAAAATAAAAGAAAGGCTTTACATTTGCGAGAATTTTGTATGTTTGGTAGTTGTCACGGACACAAAATACAGACTTGAAATCTAACAAGAAGTTCAAGAAGAAGTGGCAGAACTAGATTAAACAGATGAGTACAAGAACAACACCAGAAAGGTGAGCTAGAACTCCAAGAGGTGTGTTGTCGAGACTGAAGAACCCTTCAGCCTCGACTCCTATATATACTACTGAATAGGAAGCTTCTCGAGCTACTTCCGCTAACTAGGACACTTCTCCAACAACTTCTACTAATTAGAAAACTTCTCGAGCAACTTCCTAGAATCTATCAGAATATTCTAGAACCTTCTAAGAATATTTTAGAACCTTCTAAGAATATTTTAGAACCTTCTAAGAGAATCTTTAGGGAATATTCTAAGAATCTTCTAGAACCTTCTAAAAGAATCTTTAGAGAATCTTTAGAGAATATTCTAGAAGAATATTCGAAGAATCTTCCAATGTATGTCCATGACATCACCTCCTCTTCTAACTTCGAGGTCTCCGAGAAGCAATGTTGTTATCAGTCAATACCAACGCAAGAAAATGAAAATCTGTCGCATCACATCCGCTATGAATTCCAATTGTTGTTCGCGAGGCAAATGATTCATCGGCCCTTGGAGCCAACGGTAGTGACCAACACCTTCAACCTCTGACCAAGCGTGGACTTCTGTGTCTTCATTGTGAAACTGTCCTCCAAACACACCTTCTGGCTGACCGTCGTAGGCAGGCTCGACCTCAAATACAATTACTAGCGATCTGTTGCTCGGTATCCTCCGACGTCGTCGTGGTGCAGGCGGTTCTTCATCTCGCGGTCGTCTTCGTGAGCTAGTCGCTTGAGATGACATAACAAGTGTAGTATCTTGACTATCCATGTCCAAAGGCTAAAATGATGAGAGCAAACTATAGTTGCTAACAAAGTTCTACACTATCGAACTATGGGTTTTGGAGGTGCCCTCCCCCCTTTTTATGCTACTTGATGAGCAAGCTTCAGCAAGAAGCTATCGTTGAATCGGCTTAGGTTTATGAGGATATCGTTGATGAAATTCTTGTACCTTTTTTGGTGCATTGGCAAGATTTTCGGCACGCTCTCACGTTCGTTCATTGATGTCGTATCCACTCCAATGCACTAAATACTCCAATTTTCTCCTATTACGCCGTGAATCTAGTACCTTTTCCACCTCGTATTCCTCATGGTTTTCAATTTCGATACTTGGTGGCGGACTTTGTACTCTTTGGGGAAAAGCTGACTCTCGATAAGGTTCCAACAAAGACACGTGAAAGACTGGATGTACCTTCATAGTAGCTGGTAACTCCAGACGATATGCCACCGGATTGATCTGCTTCCCGATAACAAATGGCCCTAATCTCCGATAGTCCAATTTGTCACATGGCCGCTTGGTCTTGATATTTCGTCAAAGAAGCCATATTTTACTTCCAACTTTAAAAGTAGGCGCCTCATTTCGATATTTATCTGCAGATGCCTTGTAACTCTCTTGGGCAGATTGCAATTGAAGCTTCAACGTCGCTTGAAGCTCCGATAGTTGCTTCACAAATCCTTCAGCTGCTGGGTTGTTATTTGCTGAAGAACTCAATAAATCGAGCTTGGGGTGGTATCCGTAGTTGGAGAAGAATGGTGTTTGTTGAGTTGACGCATGAAGAGTATTGTTGTATGCGAACTGAGCAAGCGGTAGATATGCAGTCCAATCATCTTGTTGATAGTTGATGCTGCATCGTAAATATTGCTCCAAAACTTGATTCACCCGCTCCGTTTGACCGTCAGTTTGAGGATGAAAAGCCGAAGAGAGCTTAATATCCACCTTCAATATCTCAAAGAGAGACCTCCAAAACTTGGATACAAATTGAGTACCTCGATCCGACACGATATCATCTGGTAGGCCATGATAACGATATATGTTATCAAGAAAGAGTCTTGCGGTGTCTTCACTTGACGATGTTTTCTTGCAAGGCCCGAAATGTGCCATCTTTGTAAATCGATCCACCACAACAAAGATGTTGTCAAATGAATTCGATGGCGGTAGGTCCGTAATGAAGTCCATAGAAACTGAAGACCATGGTCGGTGCGGAATAGGCAATGGCTGGAGAAGTCCATACGGACGATGTCGAGGGATCTTGGATCTTGAACAAACATCACAAGAAAGGACAAATTCCTTCACATCCTTCCACATTTGGGGCCACCAAAAATCTCGTGAAATGAGCTCCAAAGTCTTGTTGAATCCAAAATGTCCCACAGCTGGAAAGTCGTGGCGAGATTGAAGTACTCGGAGTCGAGTTGGTCCTTTCGGGATATACAACCGCTCCTCAAAATACAGAAGATCTCCCTCTACCTTAAACTTGTCATTATCGACACGTTGTTTGATGTCAAGAGCTATAGAATCCTCAATGGTCGCAGTACGTACCTCGTTGAGGAAGCCGTCATCGATAGTTGCAACAGTAGCAAAAATCTTGAATTTTTCTGGTTTCAACAATGTTATACATTGTTGATCAAACGCTGCTTCTCCAGCCTTTGGCGCAAGATACGATCTCCTCGATAATGCGTCAGATAATCCTTGTTGTTTTCCAGGGCGGTAGGTGATAATAAAGTCAAATCGTGATAGAGACATATTCCATCGAGCTTGACGACGATTCAAAATTCGAGCTGTCATGAAGTACTCCAAATTCTTGTGGTCCGTATAAACAGTCACTGGATGTGCAGCTCCTTCGAGGAAGTGACGCCACTCTTGGAAGGCATCCACTATAGCAAGCAGCTCTTTGTCGTGGATCTCGTAGTTGATCTCAGCAGCAGAGAACTTCCGTGAATAGAACGCAACTGGGTGAAGCTTCTTGTCTATGCCCATCTGTGAAAGCACAGCTCCCAAAGCAAAATCTGAAGCATCGGTCTCTAAATAGAAAGCCTTTGCAAAGTCAGGGTGTACCAAGATTGGAGCCGTAGTGAATGCCGTCTTGAGATCTTGAAATGCTTTTGCTGCTTGTGATCCCCATTCGAGCTTGTCTTTGCTTGTTAGACGCGTGAG